TTATTACAGTCAAAGTTTGGAGAGCGACAAGACAAACATGCATTGATGTGTGGTTTGAAGCGCGCTCACACAGCACATATGGTGATGCTTTAGTCCCCCCCCCCCCTTCGTGTCCAATACCGATATGAAGTTTTTCAACTTAGTCTACGGTGCATCATACAGCAATCCAGGTATGGATCCACCCGCTCAAGTTCGTGTGGTTCCAAATATTCGGCAACGCACCGCGAGCATCGACTGCCAAATTGTCGTCGATGTTCGGAACATCGATCGACAGGCAGTACCAGGCTTCGAATGCGGCTGAAGCCATTGATTGAACGCTTTATTTTGCCTTTGGTAGCCTCCAAAATTGGACATGAGTGATTTTGTTGATCATATGACACCAAATTACTTCTTTTTCCTTACCAAGCAGCGAAGACAGCGGTGAAGACAGTCGAGGGCGGCTTTTTGGGCCATGCGCCCCCGAGAGATGGCGAAGCCACCTGAGACCAAAGGTCCTTGTGATGTTCGGAGGTTACAGGCACCCCATAGGCTGTAGGGCTTTTCGGGCATAACAACGGGTTCCTGAGGCATCAAGATACTACTCCCGGCCCAAAAAGTCCTAAGAATCTACGGGCACCACTGGCTGCAAAAAGGTACATTATGGCGCAAGTTGCCCCCCCCCCCCCTGCGATGATTCCTGGCTACGCCTATGAGCAAAGACTGTCACTGCACTCTGCTTTCAAGCCCGTCACCATAACCCTCTCCCTCGACCCCCACCAAGCGCGCGAGGGCAGCGGCTGCGCACCCCGCCCCCACGTCGATGGCTGGCCCCCGGCAGACGGGGCCGACCCGCGAATGCGTCAAATGTCCAATGAGCCGGGCAGCCCTCTGTAATTTCCGCTGTCTCCCTGCGCCGCTGGTCGAGCCCGGCCTTTTGATCCGACCGCTCGTAACTCGGAATCGGAGCCGCGCGGACGGTGAGCGGTGAGGCGGCCGTCCGATTCCGGCCGATTCCGTCGGCAGGGGCAGAATGCAGCGCTTGGCAGGTGCTTAACGCTAAGCCGCGTCAGACACAAGGCTCAGCGTTATCGCTTCAACTGCGTCGCGTTCGGCATTTCATAACGTCGGACGATGGTTTTTTGTCACCGATTTGTTTGAGTTTTCGAATATAGCGACGTGCATATCATGTACTATTCACGGTACTGACTTGATCATGCAAATCTCACTGTACTTCGGACTGCGCTTAACTTTTCTGCACGCCTAATCGGCTTTTGACTATCCAACATATGTGGTCCCGACCTCCCCTGTTTTAATCTGACGTAACGAGATCACCGACCAGCAACGGTCGTCAGCCTGCGGCGATCCCTAACCGGTCCGAGACCAGCCAACAACACGGTCTCCGTGCAGCGGCCGCACGCAGCCGCAGCCTCCCGTGGCAGCGCTGCGCATACTACGCCCCTGTCCAGCGGAGGGCGCCGTATGCAGGCCACGTTCGCCTCCCTAGGCGACCAGCGGCAGCCAGCCGCGGCGGATTTGCTGAAAAATGGTCGCTCCGCGTCGGACACGTGTTGAGGTGCCGACACCGGCCCCGAGCCAGAGCAGCGCCGGGAGCTGCTGCGCTCGGGTCGCTGACTCTGGCACTGCTGGCCGCGGCCAGAGCGTGGGAGCGGGCCCGGGCGCTGGCTCGGGCGCCGCTGGCTGCTGCCGGGGCGTGGGAGCAGGCTCGGGGCGCTGTCTCTGGCGCCGCTGGCCGCGGCCGGGGCTTGAGAGCGAGCTCAGAGCACTATCTCTGGTGCCGCTGGCCGCAGCCGGGGGGTAGGAGACGCTGGCTCTAGCACCGCCGGCCGCGGGCGCGGCGTGGGAGCGCTGTCTCTGGCGCCGCTGGCCACGGCCGGGGCTAGAGAGCGAGCTCGGAGCGCTGTCCCTGGCACTGCTGGCCGCGGCCGGGGCTAGAGAGCGAGCTCGGAGAGCTGGCTCTGGCACTGCTGGCCGCGGCCAGGGCTAGAGAGCGAGCTCGGAGCGCTGTCTCTGGCATCGCTGGCCGCAGCCGGAGCGTAGGAGACGCTGGCTCGCGCGCCGCTGGCCGCGGCCGGGCGTAGAGGCGGCCGAGCGGGACCGAATTAGGGCCCGTCTCTGTCGCCAGGTCACGTCCCGCGTCCATTTCGGCGGCGCCCGCCAGCGTCGTCACACCATCGTCGGCTTCGGCCGACTGGGAAAGACGCGGGTCTTCACCCGAGCCAGGGGCGCAGCCAAGGAAGAGCTGCGGCCCCCTTATGCCCGGATTGTGCGTTCCTCACTGCAGGGGGCTCCCGACATACAGTGAAAAATTGGGGTGATGCTTGTTCACTGGGCTGGGGGCCCCTCCCTTAAGAACATCCTGGCTGCGTCCATGATCTGACCCCGCCTGAGACAGAGATTTGACTGCGTCGGGGTAGTCAGCCAGCCAGCCAGCCTATCCACGGCCAGTAGCCGCCCTGCACCACGCCGACCAGCCGGCAACGGGAGGACGGAGGGGGGAGGGGGGGGGGGGGGCAGCGCCACGCCGGGTTAGGAGTGGATCGCCGCTTGAAGGTCAACTTGGAGCTAAGCCAAACGTATCCACCTGCACATGCGTGCTGTCTATGAGCTGCTTTCAAACGGTGGGCGTTTCAAAGGTGCGAAAGCGTTTGTATGCCGCCTCGCCGGACCCGGGTCCGATGACAGGTCGCTGAATCACACTATGTACCGCCTACGCTTTCCTTGGTGGTCGTGACTATGTCCAAAGACTGTCGTTTTTGGCAAGTCTTCGGGTCTAGCCATACGATGCCACACAGTCACATTCATAGCATTATACTGTGGCTGTCTCCACATTTACGTCAACGTTTACCATTGCATTTGAGAACAAGGTGTGGATGGGCTCTGGCACGAGCTGTGTAGAGCAAGCTTTAAGGGTATATAGCTACAAGTATAACCTGCCTCTGTTTATGTCGGCACATGACGTGGGACATATGGTCAAACCGAAGACGATTCTAACTGCCTGACTTTGGAAGAAGTATATGATTGCTTCGCTCTTCTCATCCGGTGCATGGGGCGGCTTGCAGTCTGCGCGGAGAACGGAAGGCCAAGTTGATCCCTCAGGGATGTTTGGATCTACCGGGACGATTTTGCCATTTGAGGGTTCAAACCGAAGTCCTCCACAAGGAATATGTCCCTTATTCACTCGCTGCCTATGGGTTCCATTGTCCCGCGTTACCTATTCCCAGTCAGTGGTGCCAACCCGTTCACATTTGTGTTAGTGCCTGGTGTTTGCTCGCCGATCGAACTGTCGCCCAGCAATGTACCGCGCCAGGCTGTCCAGCTCCCCGTACACACAACTGAGCGACACGACCGAGCCAGGCCTGCGACGTACTGAATTGTGTTCGATTCGTTTTGTTATGCAGCACCTTGGATACAATGTCATCGTCCGAACGTGGCGGCGGAGGGAGAGGCGCCTCGCGCCGGTCACATCCCCGTAGTCCCAACCACCGTGATACGTGAATTTGGCTTTATTGACAAAGCAAAAGGTTTGTTACAGGACGGAGAAGATACGAGGAAATACAGACATATCTCAAGAGGATCTTTAGATTCTGGTCCAACACGAAACAAGCCATCAAATTGCTTGAATTTGTCCCGATCTGTCTCGATCACATCCGTTTCCCTTGTGGGCTCCCCTTTCTCATTTTCTTTATGTTCAGATAAAATCCCCCTGTCTCGCTGGTTAGTCGTCCCCTCCACAGCGTATGCCAGTCCTCCCAGTCAGCGCGTCGTCCAGCCCAAGGGACGTTTCGGGTCCGGTGCTGACCTCCCGTCACCTCGGGTCCGGAGCTGACCCTCCGTCACCTCGGGTCCGCTGCTGACCTCCCGTCACCTCGGGTCCGGAGCTGGCGTCCCATCGGGCCAGATCCCGGCCCGGCCGCTGCTGTCACCGGCGGTGTCAAGGCCTCGGAGCGGTCACCGGCGCTCAGCGGCGATCACGCCGCAGCCCGGCACGACACGTGATAGCCGCACACCACCGACGGCCGGCCCGTAACTCAGCGGGCGCGGAGATAAATCTGCCGCATGCTCGGCCCGCAGCGCGATTGGCTGCCGGCGGGGCCAGATGTGAGCGGCCGGGTTCGTCATTTTCTGCCGCGGCGCCGGTTCGTCAATAGAGGGTAAGATCTGCCCGCATTGTGCTGGGAATCGAAATGGCCGAATGCTAATTCATTTTGGGCCGGAGTGTTTGCAGTCTTTGTGTTTCGCTCCGAGTAAACGTAGCGGCGGAGGGGGGGGGGGGGGGGGGGAGGCGAGCAGGCAGGGGAAGGCTGCGCTCTGCAGTCAGCATAAACCGCCAACTTGATGGAATGACGACAAACACAGCCTGTAATAAGGCACACAATGAATTACCGGCGCTGATCGGAGTCTGAAGCACCGCTTCTATCCACAATATCCTCAGATTTGTTCTCGCAAGGAAAGTATCGCTTCATTTCGTGGTCAACGCGGCGCTGACCAATCTGGCCGCCTGTCGGCGTGACGTGCCGAGTCGGCGGCGGCACATCACTCTCGCCATGGGCCCAGTGAGAGCTGTTCCCGGGCGGGACCGTCGGCGGCGGCACACCACCCTCGTCACGGGCCGGGTGAGAGCTGTTCCCGGGCGGGACCCTCGGCGGCGGCACACCATCCTCGCCACGGGCCGGGTGAGAGCTGTTCCCGAGCGGGACCCTCGGCGGCGGCACGACACCCTCGCCACGAACCGGGTGAGAGCGGGACCGACGGCGCCGGTCGCGCGGCCCGGCCGGTCGCCTCGGGCACCTCCCGCCGCCCGGTCTTCGCTGTCGGACGCGCCGACGGAGGCCCGCCCCTCGGCCGACCGGCGAGCCTGATGACGCTGCGCGCCGTCACTGCAAAATCAATCGCTAATTGGCGGGGTACCGACAAACACGGGCGTGATCTGGCCGGGCGGCCGCCGCGCGCACGGCCGACCGACGGCCGGCCGCCGCCACGGGACCAGTTGAGCGCCAGCGCCGACGGGGTCCGACGCGGCGCCGACGCGGCCGACAGGTCGACGAAGGATGAAGACTTTGCTCGTGGGGCTGGCGCTCTGCTCGCTGATCGGGGGTGAGTTGCATGGCGGCGGAAGGCAGGCCATGCCGCGGGATTTGCAGCCCGGAGAGTACCTCCCGGCCGCGTTGATGTGGACGTTTACGCGACATAGTCGCTTCGCGCTCTTGCCGCCTGACGGTATTAATTCGCGCGCAATCGAATCGGCACCGTGCGGTACAAAACGAAACGTGGCCACACAGTGGGAAACTAACACTAACTGAAACCAATTCTCTGCCAAAATCGGTGCTACCTTACTACGGTGACATGGTCAGTATTTGACTTCGCTAGGCGAACGTCACGTGCCGTCAGTAAGTAAGATGTACCTAGAACTGTTTGTTCGACGACGCATAAACATTCGACAAGCATGCGCACATATTCTTGACATAGATCAGCAACATTTGTTAAATTGAATAACATCATAGTTTGACCGCAAATGGGTTCAATGTCATCACGCTATTAGCTTCCGCCAAACCGTATGTCATTAGGGAAATCAGTCGTTGTAAACATGCCCTTGGTTGGTATGCGTAAATTCATACATGCTAGTACTTGCAGTTTGCCATTTAACGGAGCAAAACGCTTGGTTTGTCGTCTAGGACTATTCCCGAACAAATTTTGCATTCGTCATGCATTATCTAAGGCACTATCGTAATACCTCTCTAGGCGCGTGCTGCTCTTTCCTCGGAATATATATAATTACAAAATGTGCCAAGCATGGACATAATTTTATAAGGTGGTCGACTCAACGTGGTCAAGGATAATGAACGCAGGAACGATACATACCAAATCTCGTCACTGGGAGGTGGCAGCAACTGTTGTGTTCAACTCACGTGATCACATTTTGTGATGTGACGGTCAGCTATAGGGGCGCCCGGATGAACACTTAAAACGCCTGAATTTTTTTGGGAGGGCCTCGTTGGACAGGTTACTAATTTGCGCCATTGCCGATGACCGTGGTTTCCAGAGCTTGACTATCAGGCCAGACCCCGTTTAGTGGGCCTGTGCCCTATCAATATGCATTAGACTCTCCTCAAGGTCCAATGGGTCCGTCGAACTCCGCGAAGGAGGATCCATCTTCTTTGGTATCGTCGCAGAGGTCCCCTGGCAGCCTGATGGGAGCGCGATGAAAGGGATCGTCTCAAATCACTGAGGCTAAACGGGCAGCTTCGCGAAATCTGATGCTGATAAGATAATGTGTAGACTGCCACGTGGCAATGGGGCCATGCACACGAGATTGGCAGCATGCAGAGTGCTAAAAGTTTGGAGCTGGAGCATGGACCAGCTTGAAAACAACCATCTACAACTTCAGCAACAAACACAATGAAACATGCATTCATCATCGAAAGATACAAGACAGAAGACAGACAAATCAGACAGGGGGTACAAGCTTTTGCTTGTAGACCAAGGGTTGGAGACGAAAAGAACTAACACCCAAAGCGCCTTTGTCCGTTTTGGTTATTTGATCATTAGCTTCCAAACAGTGCGGTGACCGATTCGGCGGACGTATTTGTTAGCGCACGGTTCGATCGAGCTGAACTCTGCTGCGAGGGCACGTACCCAATAATCCCATTCAGAGGTGATCTCCTGTTTGATTGGACTCCGAAGGCTTCAATAAATCTCCAATTCCCAGAGTTGTCCCGGTGCCTCCACGGTCCAGCCCCGCGTGAAGCACGAGCGTCTCTGTGAATCCACGTTTAGCAGGGTGGCACCAACGCAAATGCCCGTGCCATCGGAGCCGAACTGTGAAACGCTTGACCCATCAAGAAGCGTGTGCTTTAGGAAGTCATGTGATCACCGCATTGTATAGTGCGTCGCACGCGTCGTGTTCTGACTGACGTGTTCTGAATCGGACTAGCCTTCCGTGGACAATCACAGAATGACAACGTCTTGGGTATATTTCAGTCAGTGTACTGTCGTTTCATCCTGGAATAATTCCAGGCTTTCATGAGCTTGAGTGAGGATTAGTGAAAGGCGAGGTGGGGAAAGACGCTGATGCATCGGCTATGGCTCGAAAAATGGCGTTTGCATGCAGGTGGTCTGACATTTCCAACGTTTATCATTGCATTTCATTCGCGGATGCGAGAGACGCAGGGCTTCCCCAGTCATGTGCAATACGCAGAAGGTGTTTTTCACGCAGAATTCCTCTCGACTCCAGCGCCCCTCCACCCAGTCTCCTCCGATGCGCGGCGTACGCCGGCCTCATGCGTGCGAGACCGGCACGTCCTCAAACATGGACCGGGCAAGGCGCGCGCACCGCCCCAAGTCGGGGCGCACGGCCCCAGCCCTCTGTCTCACGTGACCGGCACCGCTGTGTGCCCTGGTTGTCGAGCCCGTGTTTGCCGTCGCCAAAATTGACATTTGCACCCGCTGCTTTATGGCGGGGATTACTGTCATCGGGCGGCTGCCGCCAGCATGATCAGGTGCTTTATTACGCGCCGTGTCGACAGGGAGGCATCAGCGCTGTCCCGTCGCGTCCTCGCTCGCGCTGAACGATGGCCCGGTAAGCACATCACAAAAATCGATGAGGAATGGATCGTTAGCATGCTGCCGCCCGCCCGTGCCATCATCGTGCGTTTATGCGACCCATGATTAAGGTCTCGTCAATTTATTTGGCCCCGCCCAGCGAAAGGATCTGATCACCATGCCGGTGCTTATTTCCAAACATCGCCTCGCGTGGGATTACACATTTGCCTCAAGTGGGGTAACTACATATTGATAAATGCATGTGCAACATACACATGACATGCTCCTCAAAGAGGACAGAATGTTGGGGATAACAGCCAGAGTAACATCTGCCACGTTAGGCAGCCAGCAAGGCAGCGAGCGTCGTAGAATCTTATTCAGTGGCGTGTTCTCACAGACTCGCTCCATTACTACCCTGGGCATTCGACCCCAGTATCCTTTGGAGGTTACTTGGACTGCTTAGTATTGCGATTAATTCTTGTGTTTGTTATGCCTGGCACCAAGTGGACTTATAGCTAACGACCGCTAACGATGAGATATGAGTAAATGCTACTTCGATGACTTAACTGGGTGCTAGAGTCGGTGGCGCTAGCCAAAGGTAAGAAGGGTGTTGACCACCCTGGAGGTATCAGGGCGCCCTGGGCCGAAGGGCCAGTACTTACTAGCAGTTGAAGACGCCGTTAGATTTCCAGAAGGTTAAAAATGGCCCACAATGCATCAAAAGTGAATTCCAACCCTGAAAAGGTCTAGAATAAGATACAAAACAAAGAAAGTGTCTCTTTTGCAGCAAAATGCGCCCCTGGCCGAAAGGACATCTATGCACAATATTAACTGTTCTTTGTGGCTTTGCTTCAAGTCACGATCTCTCACAAAATTTGGACCACTCAGAACACATTCCAAATAGTTTACAAATCTTAAGCTAAAAAATGCTCATGAAATTAAATGCATCCCCAGGTGAATTTTTGCTTTTTCTTTTCAGCTTTTTCAGCTCACTTTTTCAATGGCATTTTTAAATATGCCACTTGAATTGTACCTCGTCTCTGGGTACCTCCATCGGGCATGTGGTAACTCTAGGTGTCGTGTACATCCACACGAAGCCACTGATTCCAAGGGATTGTGGATGAATGTTAATCGAGTGCGTCTTCTGCGTCCCATGGTCGTAGTCTAGGAATGCTTTTATACCTACTCGCCTAGTGTATTTTGTATGTAAAAGTTTAAATACAGTAGTCCACTTCTAGGCTGTGAAGGTGTCTGTATTATCTATCCACAATGGCGACAAGTAATGTACTTCACACTGTTTGGATACCGTAGTAATAGCCTCATTCCTCGCAGCAAAAAAACAGGAGAATGGAGATGCAGATCTCTTAGATGTGGAGGTATAGATGTACATACCAGTGTCCAGCTACACATATACTTACACATATATCCACAATATCTCAACATTATTGATATATAAGACAGGCACTTCAGCAGCCTAAATGTAAACCATTTTATTTCCTTCAATACCTGAACACAAAAATGATATGTGGTAGATGGTATCAAAGCATCCCGAGGCCACGACCATGCAAAACAGAAGACGCACCCGATTTACATTTATCCACGATCAATTGTGGAGGTGAAGATGTGTATAGATGTGTAAACACATCTATATCTCCATTCTCCTGCTTTTTTCTCTCCGGGGAATGAGACTATCACTACTGCGTTGTTCATGTGAATAATTTCCTTCGCAAATGCACTTAGCAGCTTACTGTTTGGAGACCCGCCGTTTGGCGTGCCCTGGAACCGCTTCTCCCGTGATTCCTTTGCTATATTGCAATAATCATACTTGTGTTGCAACTAGCGTATGCACTGCAAGCATCAGTTACTCCTGTAATGGTAAAACCGTGCGCGTGGTACTGGGGAGATCATGGTCTTGGCATGATCGCCGAATTTCACTGGAGGTCCCTCCCAATGTCGTGTCCCGGAACGCGAGCCATCTATATGCATGCCAAGTGCCTGGGGTTTTGACTGAATACATACAAATGTTCTGGAGAAGACAGAACAAGTGTAAAAACTAACAACGAACTGTTTCGCGAAGACTATGAAAGGCCCACAAAGGGAGGGGAACCAGCCCCTGCCTCCGCCAGAGCCAAAACGCCATCGTTGAAATGTGGTGTCGGAACAGCATAGATGTTTAGGGACACTCCGTATCAGCGTGTCTCCACTGTGCCCATGCTACACTTCACAGGGGGAGGAGGGGGTCCGCTGTGTGATCGATGAGAGCTCCCGCTGTCCCGCCATCGGTTACAAACATGGATTATACTGAGCACGGGACCAGAGGCCGTCATTAGTCCCCCAGCCCGCCTGCGTCGCAGCGGACTGCCGACCGTCCTAATGTAATTCGTCCGGTTTTGATAGATACGACTCCTAGCCAGACGGAAGGGTTATTGTGTGGTGCGTTGGTCAGCTGCTGAGTTTGCCTGGAGGGCATGTGTTGTGTTCGAGGCAAACATCACATCACATCACATCATGAGCGAACGGCACGCGGCAGCCGGGTTTTGTCGTTAATTTGATGG